TGAGGCAGTTCTGAAGGTAAAAGGGGGTCCAACCCGTTACTAGCATGGGGTACCTAATAAAGTGGCCGGTGAGTGTATACTGTTTGTAGACATAAACCTGAGAATGTACAGGAGCCCAAGCAGCCATTTTCTGTATCTGCCAGAGGAGCTAACTGTTTTGATTTGTTACAACATATCGAAAAGGTCCTCCGTTCATATTTTAGCCCATTAAAAATGCAGGGTACATAGATGTGTATGTGCAAAGTTAAAGCAGGCAATAGCTCTACCAGTTAAAGGGCATTTCCCTTGTAAACATAGCTGGACTTGTAACACCGGACTATTTCTGTAAAGACAACAGAAGCTGAAAAGGATGGTGTTTGCCCAGGCTTAAAAAAAAAAAATACCCGAGTAGAAAAACACAGCAAGTCTAGAAATAACAGAATGGAACAAAAGCAGCAACAAAAAAAAGGCTTTAAACATCACTTTTAGTCATAATAATATACAATAATGCCCATTCCCTGTACTTTGTATGTTTGTCTTCAACCCACTTGCCTGCCAGTTTGTTTCTTCCTTAAATTAAAAAAAAAGAGATACAGTACAAAGATCCATTTGATGAAAAGTCAGTCCTTTGGTGCATCCTGCTTTAGTTTCACTGGTCAGTAAAGGCTGTTAGGCCTGGGTGTGGCTCACAGCAGCATGCAGCCTTTGATAGTTTTATTGGACTTTCTGACCTGCAGGGCTGCTCTTGTTGCCATGTCAAACACGTCACGAACAGCATCTTTCGTCTTTGCAGAGCACTCCAAGAAGCCGAAAGCTTTGATCCTAATGGCCATCTCTTTTCCATCTTCTGTCTTTACCGGCTCCTGCAGGATTAGACCATAGGCGTTTAGAATTGATAGATACCATTAATAAAAAAATACTAGTAAGAAAGTAACATGACCTTTTGTCTTACTATAATTTGTTTTAAACTATTCTTCTTTAAGATAGTAAGTACTCTTAGATCATAGCTTCTGTGCTTTTTATAATGCATGTCTTCTGACATTTTTAAAATCCTGAGCTGGTCATGGAAAATAGCCATTATACTGAGCCAGGTTCTACTGGAAGTTTCTTTTTAATAGGTTTTTTTTCTCTCTGTTGTCGCTACATGCATGTTAACTATGAACGATTGCTGCAAAGTCAACGTCACAATGCAAGCAACTGTCCAATGGCACTGTCTACTCATCCAGGAGGATAAATAAATATTCTTTATAGATAAAATAGATTCTATTAAAATGATTGTCAGCTCTCTAAAGGCCTATTTACAATACCCTTTTGAAACTGTGCTGAGATCGGTCTGAGCATGGTAACCGGGATAACAGTTAAGTGTAAATGGCAAGCACAACTGAACCGCACTAACATGGTACTAGTTCATCAGTAGGTCTTGGCACGGTTCATTTCCAGCTCAGTTCTCAGATAACAAAGAGCACTGAGCAGACCGGGTCATCTCCTTACAGTCAGCCTCCGTAATCATGAAACTTCAGACATTCATAAAAATACTAGCTTCTGTACCGTGCCACATGATTTCCAGTAATGATTCTGCTTAGCAGTATGATGAACCTCAACTCCTTTCTTTGTTTCCTGCCTCTGTAAGCCCATATTAGACAATCATTTGTCGTATCCACTTCCCAAAAACCGACTCTGTCAAGTAAATTTACCAAAGGCAGCCTTCTTTGCCTAACTCTCCGCAAACAACCAAATATCGCAATGATAACAAAACATAACTTCCTGAGTGTTGCGGGTACCACCATGTTGATTTACTTGTTTACCTCTAGAGAGCAGTAGTACCATAGATCGTCATTAGGAGGTAAGGGACCATGCTGGCGTGGTATGTAAATGGTCGTTAGCAACCAAGCTCGGCACGGATCGGTTTTCAGACGGTAGTGTAAATGGGGCTGAATTGTGCTTGGTTCGTCTCTGGGGGGTGGGGCAGTGTCTGGCTGTGGAATTGGGCCGACTTTGGATTTCTTTGATCCAATTAAACTTTGAGAGTTGGCAAAACTATAATCCTCATCTATGCCTTCAACGTGTATGTTAGATCCAGTTCCACCTAGGTTATTTAAGGAAGTATTCCCCCTGTGTTCCTCCTCCATTTTAGATGTGATTAATCTATCCCTTTTACAGGGATATGTACCAAAGGCTTTTAAGGTAGCTGTAATTAAACCTTTACTTAAGAAACCATCTCTTGACCCGGATGACGGGGCCAATTATAGACCTATATCCAATCTTCCTTTCTTATCTAAAAAGTCTTGAGAAAGTAGTTGCCAAACAAGTGTCTGACCACTTACACCGTAATGAACTTGTATCTGTACCTGTCCTGTCCTTTTTAAAGATCTGAATCAGTGATATGCCAGAAACCTGCAATCAGTGCACCCCTACTACTAAGACTTTCTCCACCATTCAGAAACATACATGTTAGTCGAAAGGGTGTCTCTAAATTTCCCAAAGGTGTTTGTCTCTGTGTTTTCCTGTGATGGACTGATTGTCTGTTTGGATGAAACTCAGTGCACAACACATTTTACTGTATATGGAAAGTCTTTTCATTTAATTTCTAGTTTTAGTCTTTTATTTCCTCCTCAGCCATTTTACATAGGGGGCATGAGCCTTGAATCCCTGAATGTCAGAGCTATTACCTGCTTCATCTTGGCCAGTTCTCTTCGTGTGTTTTCATCGTTACGCAGATCTTTCTTATTCCCCACCAGGATGATTGGAACATTGGGACAGAAGTGCTTCACCTCAGGAGTCCACTTTTCAGAAATATTCTCTGTTCCAAGGGAAAAGGAAATAAAAGGCTGAGAAAATTAAGAGAGGAAGTGAATGAGCTATAGAACCAACAAGCAGATCAGTCTAGATATAAGGTAGGTATTGCTCAGTAAACTGTTTGGTTTAAAATGTTTTCAGTTGCACCAACTCCAGTCTATACTGTGACCTTTCAATGTACTTAATGAGCAATAACTAAACGAATATGAATGAATTAAGGCTTCGGCATATTGGTAATTTCAAAAAAAGAAAATGAAAAATAATCCTATGGACTCTGTTTCCAAGTTTGAAGACGTTTCGCTTCCCATCCAGGAAGCTTTTTCAGTTCAAAATGTCATGAATAGCGTTGAGCATGACGTTATAAAATAGCCCAACAAACCCTTTTTTTAATTGGTAATATTGGTAATATTTCTGTCACTCATAAACTGTCCAACCAAATGACAATAACAGAATAAAATAGAAAGAATAAATAAGACTGTAGTACAATTTGTTAAATTATTTACCCATATATTAAGAGAAAACACAAAAAACAACGGGAAATTATATTAGTTCCATTACTGAGTTTTTGTGTTTAACATCCTGGTGAACCGTGCTAACTAAAGCGTTAACTTCAGACAGGTTTTGAGGTGCTGGTGAAGAAAATTTAACCTAGTATTTTGTTAACCGTTTCTTTATTTTTTTATTTAGTTTTTTTTTTTTTAGCAATATTGCAGATGTTAAGACATCTGATTTATCTTTAATTAAACAAAGTCACTGTTTGGCAATAGGAAAATTTCACAACCCCCGTGCAGTACCCTCTCTGGTCTGCAGGAGTAAGAGAGGCATAGAGTTTCTCTGTGGGGAGACTGGTTACCTATTTAGGATGTACTACGCCACTTGCTCAATCTGTGCTGAATATGGGTTCTAGCAACAATAAATTAGTTATAGCCAACAAATGGTGGGATGGGATCAACTGTTTATAAAAAAAGCTTTCAAATGTTCTCACCTAAACTATCGGGGCTGTCGATAGAATAGCACATAAGGATGACGTCTGTGTCGGGGTAAGAGAGAGGTCTCAGTCTGTCATAGTCCTCTTGGCCTGCAGTATCCCACAATGCAAGCTCCACCTGGAGAAAGAAGAAACATATCTAATAATCACATTTATTATAATTAATCCACATTTCTTTCTTCCTGTTTATCAAAATTTCCCAACATGCTTTGCTACTAAAACATACATCTATCATGGGCATCAAAAGCAGAAAAAGTCTATCCAGCTGGACATAAACAATATTGGAAATTATGCTAATATTATGTTAACAGATAAGGAAATTATTATTAATGCTGCACCAAAAATTACCCATAATCTGACAAAGCTTTTCTGTAACCAAAAGAGCTAAGAATGAAGGGCAATATTTTTCACAATGCCCTTGATTGCATCCAGTAGAACTAGGTATATCTATAAAAATTTCAATAACTAGCAGCTGTAAGAATTTTTCTTTAAAAAAAAAAGTTTAGCATCCTTATTTGATTGGTTCTAACCTGTTTCCACTGACTCTGTGATTCCCACATTTGACCTGCTCCTTTCCAGACTGAAACAGCAGTCATGAGCCACTGTGTTATCACAGTCACAATGTGTGACTTTTTGTGTTGTGTGTAGAGACATATGTTTGATATTCAAAGCTACATTCATTGCAACTTTAAGGAATGGTCTACACAGTACACCAGGCGTGTCCAAAGTTGGTCCTAGGGGGCAGTTGTCCTACAGGTTTTCCATGTTTCTCAGCTTCAGCACAGCTGGTTTTAAATATTTCAGGCAGCAGTCTAGTTGTAAAAAAAAGAAGTCGGATTTATTTTTTCTTTCCAAAGCATGCATAGCCTTATTAATATAGTCTCCTAGAGCACTATGCATGGTATGGTTGTTACATATCAGGTACGCCGGTCATTGACCTTGACCAAACCACCTTACAGTAGAACTGCAGTCAGTCCCTGGACCGGCACAGCTATCACTGCCCCTACATAGTTAGGGACAAATGCAGAGGACAAATTTCCCACTGGGATCAGCTTCATAGTCATGGTAAGTCTTTGATTTTGTTTATTTTGCTCAGGTTAATCATAAGCCCACAGCCCACCAAATGTTGAAAGGACAATATTAACGCCATTTCTGTTAATATATAGTAGAAATTTTACACATTCAGTAATAAAATGTCACAAGGGATGCGTGGAGTAAAAAAAGTGAGCACTGAGAGTTGATATCCAAAGAATAAATTTTTTTCTGAAATCAAATGTTTTTGGCGGGGGCCTACATACGACTGATTAAAATGCGATTGCTGTAAGGCTTCAGTCTGAACAGTTACGGACGTCATTGTGACGCACAGTCACAGTCGTAGTTTAAAAGTTCCCCTTTGGGCCTTAAGTCAGCCGATTGGTCTGTGGTTTCCAGCCAAGTTTAACCCAACAAAAAAAAAAAAACAGCCAGTCAACAATCAGTCAAGGACCCTTCATGGAAACAGGTGAACTTTTAACTACTAACATTTTAAAATAACATTATTATTACATAATTCAACAAATTACACTGTAAGCTGTTAAAGCCACTAAATATTCTACACATGCTATAAAAGAATAAAAATGACTGTAAATTTTAGGAACATCAACAACGTTTTTTTTATGCTTATGTGGTCTTTTTTTTTTTAGATAGAACTTCAGGCAAGTTCTCTTAACTTACACTCTTCTCTTATGGTTAGGTTGTGTTATTGTCATTAATCAAACTTTCTAACTATTATAAATGATTTTCTTTTGGGTTGTTTTGTGTTAAAACTTAGTCTGACTGGTTTGGACAGTTTGTAATCTAATTTGCTCTTAACCATTCTTGAATTTGTTTGCCTTTTTCTTTTGTTTTAATTGGGTTAAGCTGTATTGTGTTTTGGGTCTGATTAACCATATTTTGTAATAAATCATTTTACATTCCCCTTTTTTGATCTGGACACATTTTTAAGTTACCTCCCCAGAACCCCTAGACATTGGGTGTGTAACAAAGTCTAATAAATGTTTTAAATTTAAGAACATTTACCAAAGCCAAGAGCTTTATAAACAAAGAGCTAAACACGAACAGCCGTACTGTTATTTAACTAAGCTAACTCACTTTTCAAGTTCTAAAGGTGGAGCTTTTGAGTAAAATCTGATGTTCCCACAGTAAGCACTAGAATCAGTCATAAGTCCTAAAATAGAGGTTTGCAGAGGCAGAGGGTGGGAGGTGGCCCAACACTGTTGAGACAGCATGAGCAAACAGATCATTATGTTCCCACTGGAGAAGGTGTGAGCTGCAGACTTTAAGTAAAAGAGCGAGGGGGAAAATAGCCATAGATTCAAAACAGTTTTTTTAAACAAATTTATAAGTTGAACAAAAATGTAATACAATAGCATTTCTTAGATATAGTTGAACCGGAACTTCTTTCAGGGGATTCAGGGGTACTTAATTATATCTCTCCAAAAAGAGTTTCATTACATATTTATTTTACAGAAAACAACCATAGACCGCTCCCTGTGTGCTAAATCAACCAGCACGAAGACAGGAAATAAAGAACTTATCGGACAGGAGCAGCAGTAGAGTTCTGGGAGAGGGAGGGGGATTGCCAGGAGACATCCTTGTTCCCCGTCTGAACAGGAAACCAGGAAGTAAAGTCATTTCCTGTTTTGCCAAGCGGTGATTCTGCACCAATGGTCAGATTGAGAGAACAGAACCCCTAAACATAAGTTATCATCTTTAGCTCTGACTGCAGAGCTCTTCAAGAAAAAAACAAAAACAAATGTAAGGTGTCACAACTCTCCAGCTAAAGAGAGGATTATGCCACAAAGGTTTTGACATTCATATCTGCAGCTTTTACAATATTTAGAAAAAGAAAAAAAATTGAGCACATCAGCTCACAGCTGAGGTAAATAAACAAGGAAGCCAAAGACCATTTTATTCCCAAAATTTCCAAGACCACAAGTAATTAAAAGTAATTACTGAATGAAAACCTCCCATCTACAGCTAGTAGATGCAGACAACAAGTTCTCCACAATCTGCCAATCAGTTTTATTTCTCTCTCTGTGAAAGATGACTATGGGGTGATAACCAGTGCAACAAACCTTTAAAGTTAATCATAAATTTTTCAACAGAAACCAGCAGGTTTACTTAAAAAAAATATACATTATTTTGATATCTATGGTCTGTTGACTGTGTTTAATTATGTAATCAACAACTCCTTATTTGGGGGCTGAAGTGGCCTGAGTAAAACATAATTTTATCTTTGGGACACAGTTAGAGTTGAACTTAAAGTAGGTTTTTCTTATATTAAATGCCATAAATGACATTTCTCTTGTTAATTAGCACATCAACTGCAACCTCTTTTTGGTAACGATTAAGCTACCAGACATTTATTCCCCTAAAACATTTATATGCTCTCTATTATTAATGATATTGTATATCATTGTACTTCGTACAATTCAATGCTATTGCATATGATTAATAATTATAATAAGAGAAGTTGAAGTTTTCAGTGGTAAAAGCTGTACTGAAAAAAACTTCAAATTTAGGATTTTTAAGTATTTCACTTGATATATCTTTGCTGCTCATATAAACAAAGGACTAATTAATTAATACAATAGATGTTGGATTTATTCCTGTGAAGTTAACATTAATGTATATCAATTTATATGGTAAGCATATAACATTTATGAGACAAAATACAGTGGAAAAACTCTACTGACTTGGGAAAAAAATGACTTCTACAATAGAAAAAAATCTAATTCTAGATACGTCATTTTTTCTTAAAATAAGTCAATTTGTTCTTGAGTTGAGGAGACATTTTGCCATTGGAACCCAAAAATTTTGATTTAAAATAAGGAAACACAATTGCATTGTCTTAATTCAAGTGCATATTATCTAATTATCTTATTTTAAGAGTAGAAATACTCATTCCATTGGCAAATATCTCATTTACCTACTCAAATTAAAGGTAAATACACTTAATTTCAGATAGTTTTACTTATTTCTAGATCGTTTTTCCAGTGTAAAAACCTTCTTTTAGTGTCAACAGTACCAACCTGCTTTCCATCAATTTCGATATCTGCAATGTAGTTCTCAAATACTGTAGGGACATAAACCTCAGGAAACTGGTCCTTACTAAAAACTATAAGAAGACACGTTTTCCCACAAGCTCCATCTCCAACAATCACCAGCTTCTTCCGAATCCCTGACATTTCTGCTGAGAGAAGAGAGACAAGAGCTTAATGAAAATTCAACAAATGTCTTATTTTCATTTCTACCTCTGTGAACATTTTTGTTTAGTTGTGGATTCCATATTGAACATAATTCTTTAGAGATGTATGATGCATAAAGAGTAAAGTATTTATCATCCTGACCAAAAAGCATCCAGTTTGCCACCTGCGCTACATTTCACTATCTGTTTTGCATGTGGTCAAAAGCAGCTTTTATCACCGAATGCAAAATCTGAATATATAAACAAGAGAGGACACAAAAGATGGGAGATGGAAATATCCTCTCGCACCTTTTTTTATGCTGTTTGCTCATATTAAAGATACATGACAATAAGAAAGGTGTTCAGGAAATGAATGCAGCAGCTGGTGTCTATAAAGCTCACTCAACACAACTTAATATTTGATCAGCCCAACTTTCTACAGAGACACAATAACATACCACATCTCTATGGTTAATTACTAGAAATGAAAAACAATAAAGCTGCAAAGACCCCATTGTGTTGCTAAAATGATAACAAGACTATATGGGACAAAACAAACATTTACAAGCGAGTTCCTCTACCAAGAACACGCAGGATAAATTGGATGAATGTTATTAACATAAAGTTTTACACCTATATTATGGTGAGTAAATATTAACAAAATGACACAATAAACATTGTTCTGTAGCAGCAGAAAACAGAGTTGGTTTTGATGGTGTTACTGTTAGATGAGCTGAAGGCCTACTGCCAGCTGTGCAAACATGCACTAAATATATTCACAGCTACAAATATGAAGCTGATAATAAATATGGTTACTAGCGTCAGACAACTTTAAAAAAAAAGTTGTTTAGTAAATATTAATAATATCGTATTTTGAAGTGAAGTAATATTATATTTTAAAGGGATTTTTGCCTGTTTGGTTTTAAATGTAGAGCATTCACACTTAACAGTAGAAATATGAGAAACATTGTTTTTTTTAACCTTTTTGACATTAAATCCGACTTAAATTTTTCCTGTTTTAGATCAGATAGGATGAACTTTCTGATTTTACCATTTTCAAATCAACAAGATATTTGTTTCTGACAGTTTTTTAACAACTGTCTACCAATTCAACAGTTTACATACATTTTCGTTTATTTTCAGAACTACATTATGAACTTTATGATTTGTGTCAAACATTCAAAATTCTCCCAATAGATGCAGTCAATTCAACACATTCCTTCAAACAGAACCGATACAACAAAGTCAGGTTTGTTAAAGGACACCTCTGATACACAGAACCTCCTCCGACCTGAATAGTTTGATTGCCCCACATAGTGTTTAGATTCTAATATAAATAAGTAGATCATCTTTGTACATCAGGCATCTTGAAATTATGGACAACTATGAATCTGACTTAAGGAAGAAATTTAATTAATTTCATTCTATGTAAAAATTTGTTTAATAGAAATAAAAAAGTATTTATTCACTTTCTAAATTTAAAATATCTCCCATTAAACCAGCATTTAGTAATTAAAGTAACTATGGCTTTTTAAACTGACCTAAAAGCTGGCTTTGCCATCAAGTTTATGGTAACTGGTGGCAATGCTGACGGCTCTATGTGTTTGTTTGAATAAACATTGTCTGATCCTGCCTCAATATCTAAACCTTTATTTTCTCAACCAGTAATGCTGTTTTTTTTAATTCTCTTTTTTTTAGCCGCTTTTCTCCATCTTATTGTTTGCTCTACTATAGCATAGAATGAAATAGAAAACCCAGATTTTCAAAAAATTTATAACAGGCCATATCACACTCATACATCCTAAACTCCCTTATGTCAACAACAACACAACTGGGAGCCTTTAAACAGCAAATATTCCTGCTGGATTATTTAATAAAATAAGTAATGAACCCTGAAAATGTTGAATAAATAGCCTCAGTTCAGCCTCAGTTCAAATGTGGGACTAATGGGTGCTAATGAAAGCAAGAGGAAGTTCAGGTGGCTGCCGGTGATAACTGATGGTGTGTCATCAACATCAAACATGTTCATTGTGACTCAAAGCTGTAAAACAACTGTTTTTACATCCTGCCCCCATGTTTATATCAAACACTGACCATCTTTAAACAATGAAAGCACATAAAGTAGAAAATTTCCTCCGCTGACAGCGTGAGGCAGCAGATGTGACGTCACAGGCACTGAATGAAAGAATAGCTATTTAGGAAGATCAGACAGATGCAACAAAAATAGTTTATAATGCTTTTAGTTTCTGATACTTGCTGGTGTTATGAGTAAAAATGTGCCTTGAAATAAATTTTGTGGTACAATGTTTATTCCTATAACATTTCTTAAAGTAGGAACATACATAGAGGGATCTTTGGCAATCTTCTTTGAACAAACTCTTTACATTATAACAGGTATCATCTCAGTAAATACGCATTTCTCAAAGACAAAGACTACTGTCCTAAATTATATATATTTTTTAAATCTAGGACATAAGGTTGTCAGTGTTTTATTAGATAAATCAACAAAAATAAAAGTTGTATCCATGGACGAAGCTTGACCGATTGAACTCTGTTAATTTATCTATTTTGTTATTGAAAATAAATAAATAAATGATAAATAAATATAATTTAAATAAATTTAAAGGTAGGCTTAAAACTTTCCTTTTTGATAAAGCTTATAGTTAGATTGCCACAGTTATCCTGAGCTATCTCTATAGTTAAGCTGCTATAGACTTAGACTTCCGGAGGACCTAGCGACCCCTTTTTCATCATTTTGCTTCATTCTATCTCTATTCTTCCACTCTGCAGAATCTGTTAGTTTAATCTCTAACGTTATGCCCACTCTGCTTTTTCTCATATCAGCTTCACCGCGTCTGTTCCTGTTTGGCTGTGACACCATCCTGGAGAGAAATATCAGCTGTGCTGCTGCTTTGTTTATAGATGTTGGAGATCGGCCTGTTTTTCCAGTGTAGTCCTGTTTCTCTGACTGTGGATGTGCTCTGTTCATCCTCAGAGCTCTTCTGCCTGGCTGTGTGTTTCCTGGACGGGGTCGCCTTTTACAGTTGCTTTATGTATCTCTGCTTCTGTCTCCTTGAACCCCAGTCGGCCTC